AGGGGCTAGTGGTTACCCACCTGGCAACTTTACGAGCTGAAGCCGCGCTCCTCCCGCTGCTTCTTTGGCTCCTTCAGGAAGACTGTGGTGCCCTGGCTATGGCTGGACGACGACGCCTTCGACTGCTGCTGCTGCACAGGAGACGTGGAGGCAACGGGCAACACACGGCGGGCGCGAAGGGCACAAAGCTGGACTACCGGGGTTCATCTACGCAGCGAGGGGCAGCACTCCGGATTCGAAACTTCAAAAAACAAACCAACTTCAGCTCCCCCCCCTTTTTTTTTCCGAGGCCCCGCGCGGCCTCAAATTGTTTTTTTTTTTTTTTTTGGTTCGTCACGTGACATCCCMCCCTGGCCCAGAACACCTCTCGGCAACTTTTTTTTTTTTTGGTCGACCCCTTAATTTCGGGGTGCGCCGCACCCCGTGCGCGCACGTGCAGGGTGCAGCGCACCTCGATGCGCAGCAAGTATGGTAAAAATCAAAATTTGACTGCCATGCATCTGTTGGTGACCATTCAGGCAGTCCTGGTTCAAGTACAGCTTCCCTATTAGCCCCCAAAATCATTGTATTTTACATTGCTCTGCTTATTAATTTGCGTGCTATTTGTCCACCATGAGGGTACTGAGCCACACGTATTGGCATTGAGAAGAGCCACACGTATCTGCTTATTCAGTTGACTGGTGCTTGTCAGAATTAGATACTTTGACAAAAAAGCCGTGGCTGTCTTTGTTTGTGTTGCAGGGTTTGCTGGCAAGGGCGTTGACACCCATCGTCAACAACACACACTGTCTGTTCAACAAACATGCCTTCCATCAGTTCATGGCGAATACATCCTCGCAGCTCATACCCCGTTTGAAATTGGATCTTGCTTGGTATGTAGGATGCATCTTCTCTCCCTCTTCCCCTCCCTTTTATATCTTCCTGGAAGTACATGGCAAAGGATCTCTCTCAGTCAGAATGAAGAAAATTTTGTGGCTTATCTATAGACAGGGGAAGTGGCCAGAAAGGGACTTGCTAGCATGTCTATGGAAAACCGGCTTGTCATGGATGGTGTGCCGTCAATATGACCGTAAAGGTGAGGGTCCTCTTGAGCCGTAATTGCAGCCCTCCTGAACAAGTACGGCTCCTGGTGGGCAAGGCTTGACAGAGGAAATTATCAAGCATGCAAAGTACTCAGCAGTGCCATATCCTGGTTTCCATCATTCCTTGTTTTGTTTGGGTGGTCGTCGAGTGGCAAATTTTGGATGTACACGTCACAATGTCGAAAGATGTACTACTGTCTTCACCCGAATAGAATGCCCTGTCATTATCGCCATATCGAGATGGAAAGTTGCCCCAAATACAGCTATAGTGACCAGGTGTTCTATTCGGGTGAGGAAGCTAGGCTTTACTATCACAGAGAATAATACATCTTTCAGAGGAATGCTGCACAACGTTTTGTTTGGATGGTCTTTGAGTGGCAAAGTCAAGGTTTACTCACACTTCTCTCCTGTATGCACTTGCTGCAATTATGCCCATGTGCTGTCAAAGAGGTCCCTGCTTTATGGGGATGGGTTCTCCTCCCGCCCACCCTGACAACATGAGGACGCAAGAACAAGTCTGGGTCTGGGCCTTTGGTCCTGTCCAGCCTTGGGATTTTGTTTCAGTTGCGAGGATTGAGCCATCACAAGGCCTTTCCAGGCCCAGTCGGCCGATGATAGATGGGCCCCTAGCCAGCCTTGCACCTGCCCTAAGTGAAGGCGGGCCTGCATTTCGTCATGAGGTCTTTTTTTAGTCATTTCTGCATGTGGCGGTGCCAGACAGTTGCCACGTGCCAGTTAGTTACAAGGTCCACGTCTGTGGGATCACGACATACTGAGCCTCTGGGCTCAGCCAGGCAGCCAGAGGCCTTTCGACCAATGGCCTTGCAGTGAGTGATGCTGGCCACGTTGCACAGTTGGGCTCCTTAACTGTTGCGGGCACAGGCCACTGTCTGCAATGGGCCTGGGTGCAGACACTTTGGCCTGAAGCCAGGCTACTGGGCGCATGACCTCCAGGCCCAGGCAGACCCAGGCTGCTCGTGAGCAGGGAAGCACTTTCCATCTAGGAAAGTGCCTCGCCCATTGCAGCTCATTTTGGCTGCAAGTAACCTGGTGCCCACGCTGCTGGATTGTGGCGATCAGGCTGCTGGGGCGCCGACCAAAGGGCGCACGCGGGCGCTAGTGGAGGGAGAGGTGGTGCTGCAAGGGCAGTGGAGAGCACGGCAGCCATAGCCAGGCTGGCCGGGCGCGTGCTGGTATGGGCGATGGTGGTCTTCGGGAGATAGGGGACACACACTGTGGGTGAGGAGGGGATGAGGGGAGAGTGAGGAGACACGTTCCTGATGTATGTGGCGGTCTGCATGGGCGACTTCATCACGTACATTGGTCTTCGGCTGGAAGTGGAATGCATGTCTACGCTGTAGGCTAGCGTAGGTGCTGAGTAGGATAGGCTGGGCGATAAGTGCCAATCTAGAAGGGCGACATTGGATGCTTTGTCGGTGGTGGCAGAAGAGGCCGACATTGACATTTGAGTTCATTCTATTGCTCTTGTTTGGCTTGTATCTCGGAACATTGTGATTTCTGCTTGGGACATGACTATCTGGCTTTCAACGTGATATTGCAATTTGGTTTTCTGTCTACCGCTCTCGCTCATTTTCCTTGCACTGTTCTTTCTTTCTCTCAGGACCAGTTCCTTTCTTTCCCTTTTTTTTGTTGCTGAATATGACAGGTCCTCTGTGCCCATTCAGTCTTTGTCCCTTCTCCCCCGGCGAGTTATGGATTTACAGAAGTACCCACTCATGCGACTCCGGTTCGGCCGAAGGGCCCCTGAACAGCATTGATTGGTCCATCCCTGGATTGACTGTCAGCTTGTCATTCCTTCTCTCATCCGTCTCAGACCATTTCCTGAGTCTGCCAGGTTGAACTTGGTAACCGAGAATGACATCGCCGAACCCGAGAGTTAGGCTCCAGGTCCTTGTCAATTTCCCTTTGAACAGAAACACTGACGGTTGTTTCTTATGTCCATATGGGATCCTGAGATTCCGGCTGTTGGCTGTTCTGTCTTGCACTGGACGTATACGAGTTGTGCCACTGTTTCCATTTGATGCACATTCCTTGTGTAGTTGGCACCTTGCCTTTCGCTACCAAAGGCGTTTGTGTAGGGAAATGTTTCAGATGTGGGAAGGAGGGAAGGTAGTGTCCTCCACTACCTCTTAGTGGGGAGCTGGAGCCTCCTCTGCGTCTATTTTGAGGTGGGACCTGGGCTCCACCTTCTCTCTCTGGTGGCCCCCCTCTGCAGGCCCACGACAACAACATGCTTCCCACCCTGGTATCCATAACTTTTGCGGCCTTCCTCGTAATCTATTTCATTGCAAGGTAACTCTTCGGCTTCCCCTTCCCGAAACACTAAAAGCAGGTGGTCCCTACCCAGTATCCTATACGAGATTGTCTTTCCCTGGAACTTCTCTTCCTTGTGTACGTTTCCTTTCTGCGTTCTGATTCCAGCTTTTCCTGGATTATAAGTTCAATCTTACACTAGTTGCACAAGGTCTCTGCCCGATGAGGTTATTGGTTGCTGTCTGTACCCTTCATACTGTCCTGCCACTCTCGGATGGTGGTGATGGGCTTTGATTGTACTCCTGCCGCTGAGTCGATTTCAATCTGCTCGCCCATATCATGGACGTTTTGCCATTGAGTAGCCATCTGTTTTAAAGTCTTTCTTTTTCTTCAAAGAATGTTCCAGCTTTTTGTTCTCCAATTCCTGCATGACTCTCAACTTGCATCTGTGTGTTTCCATGATCTCTCTTCTGGTCGTCCATGCCACCTGATGCTGAACAAGATTTTCTTTTCCTTTGGGTCGTTGGATAGGATGCCAAAGGACAGCGGTGTTTGAACGAGTTGGGAGAGGATGGGAGTCCAGGGGAAGAGTTGGTGCCAGAGCTCCTTGCCCTTATCCCAGATCCAGATGCCTTCCTAACCATACATTAGGCAACGGGCAATGGTCTGTCTTTTTTACTTGATTCTTTTTTTTTTTTTTTTTTCAATAAAAGAAACAGGTCCTTATGGCCCTGGCTCCATATCCATGCTGGGGAGCATCAGTCTGGTTCCTATTCCACTGGCAAGCATGGTCCCTGTCTTCTGTTCCTCACACATTACAAATAGATCGGACCTGTTGGGTAATTGCTCTTTCCCTACGTCACATCTCAGTATCTTCAACCCCTTTTCCCGAACAGTTGGGAGAGGATGTTCCGACCTTATGCTGTGTGAATAGCCTAGTGTCATCATGCAGTCTGAGACTCGAAGAACCATGGCAAAATGCCATGTTTTTTTGTTGTGATCTGCCATGGAGGGGCTGGCCAGTGCCATTGGATTGTGTAGAACTCCAGCTTGCAGATGTCTAGGTACGGTTGTAATATTAGTCTCAGGGTGGTATGCGTTGGGGCAGAGGGATTTAAAGTTTAAGCCCGTGAAGTGCCCCAGGTTTTGTTAAATTCTAAGTTCTGTTGGTTTTGCTCTCGGAGGGCTTGAACTTGGGGCCTCATACAAGTATAACTGCTTGCTTTTTGTGTGCTGTTTTGATTCTTTTTTAGCTTTTTTGAACCTAGGACCTCTTTGTGGAATCTCTGTTGGCCAAGCTTAGAGTGGGCCCTTCCAGTCCTGTAGTTCCAGATATTTCCAATAGGTTAGTAGGTTAGGCTGGGGCTGGGAGGCATCAATGAGGTGGGCAATAGTAGTGACGAATTTTCGTTCTGCAAATTTGTTGTAGTAGAGTAAGAAGAAGCAGCGTTATTTTTAGGGCTGATAGCAGGGAGAGTGCAGACAGCCATAGCCAGGCAGATTCGGCCGTCTACATTGCCTTCTGTCCAGGCAGGTTCGGCCGTCTACCTTGTATTCTGTGCTGATTCTGTGGGGTGCTCAGGGCACTTGGGCTCCCACGTGGACATGCGTGTTTGACTTTGAATTTTTCAATTTTTCAGCAAACAAGTGTGATTTCATGTCAGTCAACTGTGCAACTGTGATGACGCATACATATGTTTTAGATTCTTGAAAAATGGCAGTAGTGGTATCAGAGCTGGTCACGGTCTTGACTTTGGAGACGTGTTGGGCCCGGTCAGCCACCAAATCAGCAGCATTACCACATCAGCAAGATTGCCACATCGTCAAATGGCCATGTCAAGTCACTTTCTTGCCAGCCGTCAAACTAGTCACGTGATGTTATGCCTCGTATTGTACGGCTTCTCAAGAGAAGTGACACCATGCGACAGGAGGTGAGAGGAAGGTCGGGGTAAGAGAGAAAAGAAAAACGAAGAAGGTGAGAAGATGCTCCTCAGCTTGTGCCATGTCAGCATTTGCCATCGACATATCAACTCTGCCGACCCTGTGTTGTACCTCCCAGCCTAACCGGGTTGTAAAATAAGAAAAACAAAGAAAAGGTGAGAAGATGCTCCTAAGCTGAGGAGGATCTTGCATCGTTATCTAGGGAGGTCGTCACCAGGTCATAGAAAGGAAGTTCACCATAAAGAAGGGGAACAGAGATGGACAGGGTGTTGTGCATGGTATGCGGCTGTCAAAAAGTAGATGAGGGCCAAACAACCCCTCGAAGAGTTTGGTGAGGAAAAACAGGTTACCCTTATCAACACCGTGGTCAACAGAGGAGTGGTGAAGACCATGGTGTACAGCGGCTCATCTCAGAACTACCTCTCTTGGAAGACCTCCATGTAACTGACTCTCAGGGCGGAGCAGCAGCATGAGTGCCGGTGGAATGCGTTGGCCTAGTCATTTGCCCGGGCGATATAGTGGCTCTCGGTCTTCGGTACCTCTACCACGGGGTACTTCAGCCTCTGGTGGTGCAGTAGCCCTACAGTAATTTCCTCCCTTTTGGTGGGAACGTGATTGTAGCCTACAGTCCATTTTCAGGGTGTGTACCCAACCTGATATCTACCTACACACGGGTGCTGGATCATCAGGACCTCGCTGGAAACCGGCATTCCTACAGGGCTTTTCTACGTACCTGAGTTGTCGGAAAATCGTAGCGAATTCTACTTTTGTCCTAGTCCGTTGGATGTCCCATCTGAGTCCCACCCCTATCGTTCCTGTTCTACCCTGCCTGGACATAGCAAGCCTTGCATAGGAACTTGGACCAACAAGTAAAGCAACAATTGCACTCAAACTTGGACATCTTTGGAAAATCAGACCAACGACATCACTGTTCAAAGGACTGCAAAAATCACAAACTGAAACTATGTGGGTCATTGGACTCCCATCCAGAGGTCACTTCAAGCTAGGTAGGCGCACATAGTGTAAGCGAACTCTGGCATGCTAGGCCAGGTTTCGTATGCATTGGCAATACGAGGTGGGGTTCGTTGTGACTTGGATCGGTACATCATAGAGTGGGTGATATAGGAAATGCATAAACGTTCACATAGGAAATGCATTAACATTCACGATTATGCCTCGGACCCTTGTGTTCCCAGATGAATTTCAAGGCCACCATTGATGGGGCGGGGAATCGTCGAGGGTCTCCTGGAAAAGTCGTCATCAAAAGTAGTGCAAGGGTGAAGTTTCGAAGCATGAAACACCTGATACATCCGCAGAATGCACCCATAGGAGGGTCTGCAATGCTGATATCTCCTAGGAATTTGCTGTAACTGAATTTGCCGTAACTTGAACCAGTTCTGCGCCCATTTACAGTGGTACTCTTAGCCCCGCTATAGGACGAGGCTATTTTGCTATGTCTATGTTTTGCCTGTTGGACCAGACCGTCAGTCTGCTCCCACAGGCTAGTTATTTGTCCAGTCTGGTACCAGGCGGTACCAGTCCAGTCCAGTCCAATCAGTCCGCTGGGTATAGGGGTATACCCCAGCAGCAGTCCGAACTTTCATTCGTTCTGCATTGTGAGGCTTTGGAGTACGGTTGTGTACAGTCTGAGTCTATGGTGTGTGCTGTGAGCCGTCGCTGTCTTGCTTGATCAGCGTTCCAGCTCCACCTCCATCTCCACCATATCCTCTCTTTCTTCTCTGCTGGTCAGGATCCGCCATCCTGGCCGTATACCTGTCCACCCTTATTCGCGTGGTCAGCCATGACGTCCTTTTGTTTGCCCATAGCTGGGATTGCACAAACGAGAAATCTCTGGTACTTGACTTCATAACCAGGGATTCCAGGGGTCAGACCGGTGTGTTGATCGGGTAGTAAGAAGTCAATGGGCTGCCAACCGACCTGCAACTGACATGGAGTCACATTGGTAGAGGGAAGTATGGAATCTTCTTATTTGCATTGTACATCAAATCTCAGAGTCATGTGCGGTGTGCTCTGATCAAGTAAGACGCTTTTGTTTCCTTAGCCGTATGGTACATATCTGCAACTTTTGATTGATAAGTGCAAATTCTAGTGTACCATAGTTCCAAGGGTGATCCTTTGATCGAGAATGAAGTTTCACCCATGCAGAGGCATGGTTCTCAACTTCTCAGATGACCTTATGGCTGCATTTTTGCAGTCATGAGCAGTGTGGAATGGTTGGTGCATCCACTACACCTACTGTCTTCACCCGAATCAAACACCCGGTCATTATAGTTGGATTTGGGCCAACTTTTGCTCCATAGATACAGCGATAATGACAGGGCGTTCTATTCGGGTGAAGACGGTAGCATTGGTGAATGCATCGACACTGGAGATGTGTTTGTGATACGTTCGGCCTTTTCCACCGAGACGGTCAGGTGGAGATGTGTTGTGATTCCTCATGTTGGATTGACTTGGATACAGAACATCCACTGAAGTCACATTGCAAACCAGAGATACAACTCTGCAGTGGAACTGCTGAGCATCATGTGCTAGTAGAAATTCTCATAATATAGTGGACTCGTAATGATATGATAATATGCTAGTCACAATGGACACTGCTAACAGCATTCGCCAAGGAAGATGCCCACAAATACATTATCCACCCCCCTACCCATGATATTGTCTGCTAGCGTCTGTGATGCTGACTGGTCTCTCGGGGTTACACAGGCAGAAGATGAGAAGGGGAGAGTGAATCACCATGTTCAGGAAAAGGGAAGAGAGAACCCTTTCCTGCTGCTTTCTTCACAGATGCACACCCCTAAGGTTGCACAGCTACAACACACAGTCACTCTGTGCTGCTCGTTATCCACACATTTCTGCCTTTAAACCACCAGTACCTTTCCCAGCCATTTTGACGTTTCGTGCTGGTTAACACAGAGGCCGCACTCGGCCTCCAGCAGTGGCCAGATGCACCACGAAAACTCGCCGCCCAGGGGCCGCGGCCTATAGCTGGGAAAGGTACTGGTGGTTTAATACCCCTTTATAGTAGTTTATACCGTTTATGATATTGTTGTTGTTGTTATCATTGTTGTTATTGTTGTTATTATTATTATTATTATTATTATTATTATTATTATTATCATGATTATTATTATCATTATCATGATTATTATTATAATGTGCTGGTGTTATCCCCACATTTTTGCCTTTATACGATTTATGATATTGTTGTTGTTGCTCTTGTTGTTATTATTATTTTTGTATTAATCATGTTATTATAGTAATATGATTATTGTTGTTGTTGTTATATTATATATAACAATGACCCCTGAGGTTGTGAGTGAGAGCACAGATTCTGTGCAGGCACAGACTGTTTTTGCTATTGTGGTACGTGTTTTAGAAGGGTTTGGGTAACTGTGAGTTCATGGGTGAATTTCCACCTTTTCCTCGAGGGTGAGAACATCTTGTTCGTGCTGTCTTATCTCCTGTCTGTGGCAGAGAGCTCCTGCGTATACCGATGATCCTTACTATGGGAGTCTGATGCCATGTAGTGGGACACCTGTGGTGAGTGGACAGTGCGTGCCCCCCTCCACATCCTCTCCAACCTTTGTTCGCGTGTGGGGCAGTTAATGCGCCCCCTGTTCTCGTTCAGCATTCAGTAACAGGCTTTCAATGGGTGCACCACTGGACTGTCAGGCGCATCCTATCTGAATGTATGTGCTTTCTTCTTTTTCAGGAGCTTCAAGCCAGACAGTTGTCCCTACTGTCTTGCCAGATGGAGGTTTGACTGTGAGTCCATTCGCCAGTTTGCTGTATTCCTTAGGAGGGCTGATACCATGATTGAAGAAGTGCAACTGGTCTGACAAAATAGTAGCTGTTGGGAATGACATGTCAGGATAATGGCACAGTTGACTGGACTCCCAATTTCTACAACCAGCAGATGTAACAAGAGGACAGATGTTGATGATGGATTGACAGTTGGATGTTCGCTGGGAGGATATGATTGGTTTTGAACTTCTGAATTGAACCACGGGACTACTGCGACTGAAGGACAGATAATGATCAAGGTCGGCAAGGATGTTTTCGGAAATGACCACTTGAGTTTGAGATTTGAATCTGGGTATGCAACATGGAACTTGCATGGACATTGCATTACATTTAACAAGAAAATTATATACAAAGGATGGGCTGCCTTCCAAGTGGACTGGACAGAAGGTTGACCCTGGCAGAAGCGCGTTGTGGGAAACTATTCAGCAAAGGAAAACCTCTGCGAGATTGTGAAGCCCATTGTTGATTTGCTAATCGGATTCTTGTTATTGGAGTGGAGATTTCATACTTTCTGCCACTTGGACATTCAGTTTGGGAAAAGGCAAACTCATTTTAGAAGTATGATGCGGTGAGGAGTTGTTTCCAGATATGATTGCTTATCAAGTTATTAAGATTTGTTCTACTTCGTCTTTTATGAGAAGCAAGTTGCTGTGAAAATAGAAAGTGTGATTGTGATAGATACGAGCTAATGCGAAGGACATTCTGGAAATTATTTTCCCATTCGTATGGGAAGCTAAAATGTGAGGCTACCTGGTAAAGTATATTTCCCTTGTTATCGGAGCAATGAGGTGAGGGGAAAAAAAAAAAAGTTCCACTCAGTGGTGCATACCCCGACGGTCGGCGCCCCTTGACTGGCCGGCTGGTCGGCGCCTACCTTTCGGGGGTCGTCGGCACCCTGCACTTTTTTTTTTCTGGGTCCAGAACCCCCAATAACCCCTCCAACACCCCCATACCC